GCACTGAAGTCGGCGCAGCGTAAAAAACTGCCGACGAAATCGGTCGTGCAACAAAGAGAGGCAGGTTTCTTATAATCTGCCTGCACTGGGAGCTCGCAGGTCAGGTAAGTGTTACGTTAAGTTTAAGATGTTGTGCATTGATGTAAGTTTAGTGTACGTACATTTTTTAAGTTTTATAAGTTTTACGAAATAACCTAGAAAATTCTGCTTCCGGTATCCGAAAGCAGCATCATGAAATGTTTTGTGCCATAGGAAAAAATTCTAACAAAAGGTTATAAACAGCTCTAGAATGTAAATGTACAAATATACAAGTTCAACAAATTTTTTAATCATATGCCCTTATATACCCAGGAGCGTTGGCCAAACATTCCGAGGACCCGGGTGAATACTGAGTCCATTCTACCGGCACAAGTTGGCTCTACAGAAACACAATCTGCGGTAGAAACAAGTCACCCGAGCCAAGGCCAGAATAGTGTCACACTTTCATCTTCATCTTATATTATGTTGTTTGCTGAGACATGGTTGAAACCGGAGAAATTCTTCCTGGAACCCAGGCAAGGAGGTGGAGTCTTAATTGCCGGGGACTCTACCCTCACGTCGGAATATTGAAATTATATGTGTAAGGCTATATTTACCTGGTAGTTTTATATAAATCACCTGCTCGTACATTCCGCCTGCATCTGAATTCCCGAAGTATTTAAATAATCTTTTCGCTATACATTCAGTCTCAAATAAGCTGACCAATAGAGACCAATTTGTAGTTCTAGGAGATTTTAATATACCTGGAACTTCGTGATCAACAGATGAAAAATCTAATGTCTTACTTACACCAGCCCATCATGAACTCACTGATATATCTTTGTCTCAGTCGACATTGGTGCTGTTTTAGTAGAAAAACAAGGAAGAACGCTGTAGTCGAGTACCTCGACTATCAGATACCCGTTACTCAGATAAAAAACTTTAAAATAAGTTAGCCGCGCACTTTGTTCTCTCTCCCTTGCTCTCATTTCTCGGCTCTGCTTTTGTTTCAGCCAGCGCCAAGAATGAGAAAGCATGCTTGCTAAACATACACAATTTTAAGGCACATTCTGTATTTCAAAATATTTGGTTGAATAGCTTTGTTTGAAAGAATTCTATTTGCCGCGGATATTAGATTGCAATTTTTTACGTCCACACACATGCATAAATACATATGTATGTATGTATGTCGTTTTCTGGCTCTAGTGTCAAGGCTTGTCCTAACTACTTTGGTTTGAGAGCATTGGACTGAAAACGGAAAAGTTTTTTTGGGACAATCTGTAGGTATTTATTAAGCTAATTCATATTCTTTGAAAGAGATAAATAAAGATGTACAGATCTTTAAAGGTTTTTGCCCGTCAATGGGACAAATGGATAAAGGGTTAATTATTCAATAGAATAAGTTAGCCGCGCACTTTGCTCTCTCTGAGCGCCGGCAGGGCTTTTTTCTTTGCCGCTAAGTTCGGCCGGCAACTATTTACATACACACACATACACGCGTAAAAACATTTCGCATTGTCTGGCTCTGACGTCATAGCTTTTTTCTTTGGAGGTTTGTGGGCGTTAGAGTGGGCGTAGCTAAATTTTTTTTTGGTCAATCGATAGGTATTGACAAGACTAATACATTTCAGTTAAAATTTTCTATCTAGCATCAAAACTGTAGGAGTTACATTTTAGGGCGGTTTGTGGGCGTTAGAGTGGGCGTGGCAGTCTACTGAAACAAACTTGCGCTGCGTAAGAAGCTCAGGAATCTGTACGCCAAATCTCAATAGCCTAGCTCTCATAGTTTCCGAGATCTCAGCGTTCATCCGGACAGACGGACAGACGGACATGGCTAGATCGACTCGGCTAGTGATCCTGATCAAGAATATATATACTTTATGGGGTCGGAAACGCTTCCTTCTGCCTGTTACATACTCTCCGACGAATCTAGTATACCCTTTTACTCTACGAGTAACGGGTATAATCAGTGATGTCAACTAAGCGATTACATTGTTTTCGCAAGGCTGGTTTTCGGAGGCTAAACTTTTATAAATCAGTCTTTGATTGGTCCGATCTCTACTCCTCCTAAAATATAGATGCTATAAATATTTTGTACTCTACAGCAAATTCGTTTTTCAATTCAAGTGGTCCGTTTTACTATCCACTAGTCTCCAACAAGCCACTTTGGTTCAGTAAGGAGTTAACACCCCTAAGTAATAGTCCAGACTTTATAGGAAATACAAAGAAACCGGTTCTCAATCTATTTATTCTAAATATTTAAGTGCACGGTCTAGTTTTACCGTGCAAAACTCTCTGTGTTACAAAAACGATTTAAGTCGTTATAAAGTCCAATTCTGTCAGAATCCGAAAAAGGTTAATAATTTTGTTAACACTAAATCCACCAATTATCCTTCCTCGCTACCTCGCAAGTTTTTTCAAACGACATGTTTTACTTTACCTCATTCTTCACAGCCCTAATCTTACACTGTATCCAAGTCGAATTTAATATTCTGACCCTCCTTTAACCTGGTCCCAATAAATTTCCTGGTTGCGTGCTTAGATACTGCGCAAATTGTTTACCTTGTCCTTAGAATCTTCACAATTTCCCTACATGTAGAAGGAACCGTTTGTAATTCCTCTCCGCACGAAGGGTAGCAAAGTGGAAGCAAATAATTAAAGAGGTATCTCTAAATTGTCAGCGATCTCAAGCTTTTCGAAAATATTATTACTCCCCATTTATGTAGGTCAGTTATATCTTTTTGACAACACGGGTATAATAAACGTAGATCAACAACCACTAACCTTTTGAAACTTATTTTATTTGTGATAAGGGAACCTAAAGAATAATTTACTTTATTTATAACGACCTTTCCCAGTTAAAACTAATTATCGTGTACTAGTGTACGCAGCTGATGTTATATTATACGTGCTTTACAAGGATACTTCTTGCCAGTCCGATTTGAATAATTAGAAAACGTGATGCTTTTTGTCGTGCAGTCCTCAATGTGCGACATACATACTCATTGAATAAAATAACGATCTTGGTGTTTTGTTGGACCATCTGATCACACTTCGTCCATGGTGAATAAAGCTAGGGGTGCGCTATGTTTTTTAAAAGGTGGTCAAAAGAATGTGATGATTTTTATTTTTATAAAACCTTATTTATTTTGCTTTTCCGGCCGATACTTGAGTATGGATCAATCGTCTGGAATCTCCATTACGGAATACATGTTGATCGTGTCGAATCTGTACAGAAGAACTTTTTGCTTTTTGCTTGAACGATGCTTGGAATAGTCTTTATTTATAACGTTATTCGAGGTGAAATTGGTAGCACCGACTTGGTTAGCCTGCTAAACTTTCCTGAACCATGCAGATTAGCAAGAAATTACATTCCCCTAATTTTAAATCATTGTATATTTAACTATGACTTGCATGAACCTTTCAGGGTGTTATGTTCTGACTATAATATACTTTATCTTATTATGTCCATATCTGACTCTCCGATTCTCTTAAAACAATTAATATTACGTTTTCTAGCACAGAATTAGATCCTACTTCTTTTCCTCGGACTATATATTTATTTTTCCATTTGCCATTTGGTCGGTTGGGCGGGAGATGTGGCCGTGCGATCCCGCGCATATAGGTAGGAGCCACAGTTTTGGGCGGTTTGTGGGCGTTAGAGTGGGTGTGGCACAATGACGAAACAAACTCGCGTTGCGCAGGAATCTCTAGAATCTGCATGCTAATCCTAGTATTGCAACTTTTATAGTTTCCGATATCACAGCGTTTATGAGGACAGACAAACTTGGCTACATCGACTCGGCTAGTGATCCTTGTCACTATATTCCTTCCTTCTACCAGTTACATACGTTCCGACGAATCATAGCAATTTTGGAGGAAAAATGTTAAGTAATGAAATTGAATACCTTTATTTAACCAGCAATAGTGCTTTCGATTTGCAACCGATCTTTGCAAAGTTGGTCCTAACATTTAAAGGACACACTTATCTTATGTATGACTTGTTCAAAATAATTTATTCAATTTTTCTTTAGGTGCTAGAACTCAAAAGAAAACAAGGAAGAACGCTAGAGTCGAGTACCTCGACTATCAGTTACCCGTTACTCAGCTAATGGGACAAAAGTAAAATGGAGATATGCGAGCAACAAAGCGAAATTGGAATGCGCCACCTACCCGCGATCTCAATATACGGTTATGTGGGCGGTAGAAAGACTTAAGCGTTATGGGCGTTAGAGTGGGCGTGGCAAACGTATCGATAGGTATTGACGAGGCTAATATTTTGTTTCTAGCATGAATATTGTGGGCGCCACAGGCTTGGGAGGTTTGTCTGCGTTAGGGCGTGGCAAACTTTTTTTGGATCAATCGATAGTTATTGACGAGACTAGCACATTTCAATTAAAATTTCTTTTCCAGCATGAAAATTGTGGGCGCCGCAGATTTGGGCGGTTTGTGATCGTGGCATAATCGCGAAACAAACTTGCGCTGCGTACAAGGCTACGGAATCTATATCTTAAATCCCAATTCTCTATCTTTGATAGTTTCCGAGATATCAGCGTTCATATTTACGATTTTTTTAAGGTTTTTATGGGCGGTTTGTGGGCGTGGCAAACTTTTTTGTAGGCCAATCGATAGGTGTTGATGAGAAAAATACATTTCAGTTAAAAATTTTATTCTAGAATTAAAATTGTATGAGCGACAGTTTTGGGCGGTTTGTGGGCGTGGTACACTGACCAAACAAACAAGCTCAGGAATGTACATGCCAAGTCCCAACTTTCTAGGTTTTGTAGTTTCATCGTTCATAGATCTCATCGTTCATACGGACGGACAGACAGACGGACAAACATACAGACATACGGACAGGGCTAGATCGACTCGGCTAGTGATCCTGATCAAGAATATATACACTTTATGGGGTCGGAAACTCTTCCTTCTACCTACCTACGCAACTAAAAAACGATTACCTTTTTCATACTCAAACTTACCGTTATAACTTCTTCTTTTGCCATTGTAAAAAGCTCTTCTTCGGCGGCAAGGACATCAAATTCTTTGAAACTTTTTAGGGTCTCATTTAAGACCGAGGTGTTTATGAATCGGGGATTCTTAATAACTACACCCCGCTGTATGCTTGGTTCGAACGCATCCCCTAGAGTAGAGTCGCCGGATCCATTGCCCGAATCTGATCCACTGGCCTGGTACGCCAGCACCGCTACTATGGGTTCCTTGCGCGGCTTAGGCGGTGGACTGGGCGGTCGAGAGTCCGATGGCGATTCTACGCTGCAGTTCCTAGCCAGGCTCGAGATCCGTGCCATTGAATTTTGAGGCAGCGCTTGCGCCGCAGTAGTGTTGGGTCTTGGCAAAGAGTGGGTGGTGAATTTACTCTCTAGGTGCTGTTCGCTGGTGGGGTTACATCTGGCGATCGTCTGGAAGCGGACAATGACGTTCTGATTTTCGTTTTCCAGCTCCTGCGTATGCTGATGCTGTTCCTGAAGCTTGTTTATGTTGCTAACCAACAGTGCCTGGGCTGGCGTGAGGCTCTGGAAGCGCTGTTGCTTCTTGCAAGGCAGCGGTGGGGTTATCTCTCGTCGTGCCCGTGGAGGCGAGCAGTGCGGGCTGGCCGGAGAGCCAGCCTTTGGAGAGAGCTGTTGCTTCTTGGTATCAAAGCGAAAAAGCACAGAAACGCCTGTTCCCACTCCTCCATTACTGTTTATTGGCGAGTTAAGAGGACTCAGACTTCGGAGACCTGCCAGCATCTGCGTGTGGAGCTGGTTGCCCACGATTTTGTGGCCGTAGAAGGATAGCGGATAGGTCCGATTGCAGGGAAATTGAATAAGAGCCCCCGACGCCGACGAGATTGGCTTTCCAGATCCCACGTAGAAAGTAATCAAGTCGGGCACGGTATCGAAGGCATCCTCTTCGAATTGGAACTGTACCCGTTCGTAAACTGTCTCCGGCTGTATAACCAACTGAAATGTATAGCAAAATACAGAATTATACAGAAAAACAAGGTAATAAATATTATTTTATATAATAACATGAAATTTAACAATAAAGCACAAAGAAAAGAAAGGGGCAGTACCCATATGATATTGTCTCTTCAATTTAAACATAACAAACAAATACGATTGCATATTAACATGAGAAATATTAACAAGAGATGACGCTATAGTCGATAGCCTCGACTATTAGATACCCGTTACTCAGCTTAAGGGAGTGCGAGAAGGGTGGAGATAACACACCTAACCTAACACGCCACTTGGCCTACAGCGCCGCCAACACACAGCGTAATTGAGAAATCAGCTATTTTGCTGCAAGTGGTGGGATCTCGATTGAATTGGCAAAATGTTGATTATTATTTGCTTATAACTTTCTGATGACTGGTCCAATTTCAATATTTATTGGTATGTAGATGGGTATTAATATTAAAAACAAAATCTCATTTAAATTTTAACAGTGGGACCCTGCTGAAATAAACTTGAGCTACGCAGGAAGACCAAAAATCTGCATGCCAAGGCCTAGCATTCTAGCTCTTATAGTTTCCGAGATCTCACCGTTTATACAGACAGACGGACAGACAGACAGACGGACTCTACTAGTGATCCTGATCAAGAATATATTTACTTTATGGGGTCGGAAACGCTTTCTTCTACCTATGACATACTTTCCGACGAATTTAGTTTACGCTTTTACTCTACGAGTAACGGGTATAAACACCAATTACATATGTTGATATTAATCCGTAACACTTTATTATGAATTCTTGACAAATTGGTATGAGGTTTATGTCAAATTTGATTTTGAAAAGTCTGCGACAAAATAGTATGGCTGTATATTTGTAATTTCTTGGTATTGGTACCAGAGCCGGTTATGGCGGAAAGAGGGAAAGATAAAGAAGACGACAAAAGCGGTGGTATATTAGGTAGCGAGAACACCATTAATTTCCACATACAGCTACAATCAGCTAAAGTAACAAGTTGAGCAATTCGCAGTGTGGACAGAGCTTAACATATTACGCACTTTTCAGGCACGATATATTTATTCTCGTTATGTTAGAGAGTTTTCCAAAGAAATCACCCTAACAAATGGGGCCTAATAACCTGTACTTTCGCTGAAGACGGACGATTTTTTTTAATCGCTCCCGAAATCGTTTTGCCTATCGTTGGATTTTCTTATCTTTTTCGATACGCCGCTTCACTGTGTATTGTTATATTTGAACAAAATCATAATGCCGCAGGAAACTGGCCATCTAAATAGGTTTGTTGTTGGTCTCTCATACGGCCACTCAGCGTTGCAGCTTTCCGTTACAAAGCTAGCATTTATCGTAAACGAAATCGCGCTTAGAACATCGCCTACATATCACGCTCTCTCTGCACCTCTCTTCGTTGGACAGATTGCCGCTGGACTTATCGCCCTACTGCTCTCTAATCCGATCTCCCTGCTAGCTTCCCTATCAAATATCAATTACTCTTCAACTGCTACTTAAATGACTCTCCTTTGCTGCGCCAAGAAATGCGAATTTAGCGGTACCATCTCAGGAGATAATTTCTTGATGTGCTGGCTGTGTGATAACTGCTCACATATTAAATGTGGTGGTGGATCATAACGGTATAATCGGTGATATTGTTGGGAAACGCAGCCAATTCTCCTGGGCTTCTTCTTCATACCAAAACGTTACCCCAGAAATTCGGTCTCAATTTAATGTTCTCACTGACATATTTGATTCCGTCGAATCTACATTTCTGGGCCTTAAACTTCTAAGCAAATCCCCCAGGCGAAAAATTCCCAATAATCAACTCAACGTTGGTTTCATTGCCGAGCATCTCTGCTCCGCCGATTACTAGCAATACATCTGAACCAGTATTACCTAACGCCTCAAACAATGATAACTCACATACAGCTCTTAAAACTACTACTAATGTTCATGAAACCGCTAACACCGATCGTACTAAAATGGATTCAACTTCTGTACATACCGAAGTGACCGATGCTGCTCCTAGCACCTCTTCCTCCGCACCCCTCGTCTGGAACTGCTGAAGGTACCAACGTTTCTGCAAATGTTCCAAATCTAGATAAATTGCCATTAATGTACATATGTTGCTCGCCCATCTGAAATACCATTGCACTCATTCAAACTTCGGAAAGATATATTTGGTGTCTCGCCTGTCTCTTGATACTACGCCGGCAGCCGTCAAAAATCATCTGTGCTCCAAGTTAAATGCTACTCCTGATAATTTTATTATTAACAAATTTGATTTTAACCACGCGCGTAAAATTTCATTATACAAACTTTTCTTCCATACAGTTTCCTATCTGAAGCTTTGAATCCTTCATTATGGCCTTTTGACACTATTGTTAATGAATTTCTGCCTAAAAACTACCGGGTCAAAAACTATGTTTTTTTTTATTATTAATTACCAAAAAGTACGCAGTCTTTTGGGTTAACTCATCCAAATGCACACTAATAGCGCGACATTTGACTTTGATGCCATCGCCTTGACAGAAACCTGGCTTAATTCTTCAGTTTCTGATAACGAAATCTTTGTTCTTATATTTACTTATAGAACGGATCGTCCTTCTTTTGCTGGTTGTGTCCTTATCGTGGTAAATAACCATTTTTCCTCCAAGTTGTTTCCCATTGCTAACGATGCTGGTATTGAATTCGTTGCAGTAAAAGTTAGAATTGACTCAGCTTTCATCTTTTTTGACCTGTTTATATATTACTCCAACGTCTGATTCCGTAGTATATTTAAGCCACTTATCTACCATTTAGTTTGTCATGTCTGTAGTGGTGACTTTAACCTCCCACATATTTCTTCAAATTCCCTGTATTGACTCAAATATTTTTCCACCTAACATTTGTCATGATTTTATCGATGGGATAACAGACATGTCAATCGCTTAGATCAACTCTGTTAAAAATAGTCGGAATAGACTTTTGGACTTCATGTTCGTTAGTAATGCTGCTCTTGCCACAATTTCTAGAGTAAACGCAATTTCCCTTCCTGAAGATCATTATCACCCAACTTTATCAATATCTGTTGAGCTTTTAACCAATCTTACAAATTGCCCTTATTAACAGCTTGTCCGATAAAATGTAAAATGGGAAACAGATTATACTCGTCTAGATTTGTACTTTATTAGCAATCCAATATTGGGTTACCGCTGTATTCCATTTTTCAACTCCATTTATGCTGCCTTCACTTAAAGAAAAAACCGTTCTCAGCGTTCTTGATTTCAGTACTTTCGATCTCAAAAGTGAGCCAAGATCGACTTATACTAAAAATCCTAAGATCGTCATCGAAGTCTTCTCGGTTTGCGAACTGACTTTTGATAATGGTAATTCTTGATTTCGGTATGAATCGTTCTCGGTTTCAACATCGAATCGTTTCTTGATGAATTTTTTACAACGTACTATCTTAAATGATAATTGTATTCTACAACTATTTTTATACCCGTTACTCGTAGAGTAAAAGGGTATACTAGATTCGTCGGAAAGTATGTAACAGACAGAAGGAAGCGTTTCCGACCCCATAAAGTATATATATCCTTGATCAGGATCACTAGCCGAGTCGATCTAGCCATGTCCGTCTGTCTGTCCGGATGAACGCTGACATCTCGGAAACTATAAGAGCTAGGCTACCGAGATTTGGCGTGAAGATTCCTGAACTTCTTACGCAGCGCAAGTTTGTTTCAGCAATGTGCCACGCCCACTCTTACGCCCACAAACCGCCCAAAACTGTGGCCCCTACAGTTTTGATGCTAGAATACAAATTTTAACTGTAATGTATTGTTCTCTTCAATACCTATCGATTGACCCTAAAAAAGTTTGCCACGCCCACTTTAACGCCCACAAACCGCCCAAACCTGTGACGGCCGCAGTTTTCATGCTAGATAAAAAATTGTAACTGAAATGTATTGGTCTCGTCAATACCTATCGATTGATCCAAAAAAAAATTTACCACGCCCACTCTAACGCCCATAACGCTTCAATCTGTATACCGCCGGTAGGTGGCGCATTTTAATCTCGCTTTGCTGCTTGCATATCTCCATTTCCCTTTGGTCAGTTTAGCTGAGTAACGGGTATATGATAGTCGAGGTACTCGACTACAGCGTTCTTCCTTGTTTTTACAATAAACATAAACCTTACTTAAATTTATCTGGGAATTAAAAATTGCTTAGTTTTAAATAGCATAAAGTTATTGTTACTTAAACCTTCTTCCACTCCATCAACCCTGAAAAGCACACGGATCCCAATCGGTGGGATGGCGTCTTTAATTCCATAATTTTTTATATACTGAAGGCACTTGTAAGAAACCCTTCTTCAGTTCTGCAGTAGGGCCGCGGTGACATGGCTCAAGGCAAAAGCTTTTTTGTTTTTCTTTTGTGCCTAAACCGCTGTGCCGCTGTTGACGTCAGCAGAGAAGTCGGCGCAGCGTAGAAGACTGCCCACGAAAACGATCGTGCAACAAAGAGAGGCAGATATTCGGAAGTTCCCTCTCTTTCTTGTCTTATAATCTGCCTGCAGTCTGCGCTCGCAGAGACAAATTTCGGCTGGTCCGTTATTTTTTTGCGTCTCTCCGTTATGTTCGGCTAGCGACTAATATTTCGGCGGAACAAATTTTCATGGAGCAGCGACATGTGAATGCCCTAATAAAAAAAACAACTAATATTTTTTTATAAAAGTAAATTATTTGATTGAAATAAAATTAAGTAAATTGAACTTAATTATAATGTTATGTTTACTTATTATACATTTTTATTACAATATAATTTTTTAGTTTAGTAATGGAAATTTGATTTTATATTTTATTTTTTTATTAATTTGATTTAAATAACTAAAACATTTTAATATTAACATTTTTAAAAATTCGTATTGTATTTTTTACTTAGGAAGTAAAAATTATACAGTCGGATATTTTTCGCTTTAGAAAGGGTATAGGTGCAGTGGCACGCGCCAACAGCGAAG